CATGAGTATTGGGCATGAGTATTGGTCAAGAAATCTAGACCGGTATTGGAGAACCGGTGAGGATGGTATTGGCACGATGCTTAGGGAATCTTTGATTCTTCCTACCTTCAGCTTTCTGTGTCAGCTTCTTCTTCAAGCTAGAGGGACAAAGCTTTGACAAAACTGGTGTAACTCTTCAACCTCAGTTCCAAATTACTTGAAATTAATTCCATCAAAAATCTAACTTTATTCTTTATCTCGTCACCAAAGTTTATCCAATTCCAAGCTGGTTAATACATCCATCAAAATGTAAACTTTTTATGCATATGTTTCCAACTTGAGAATTTGCATATCTTGTGAAAATTGTGATTCGGTTGGTTCTTTTTACTATGGTGAATGGATGTACATGTTAAAACCTCTTTTGATCTATTTTACATCATTTTAATTTTTAACCTCTTAAGATTTCAGAAACTACATTTTCTAATGAAAAACAATGATACAATATAAAGTGTATTATCAAGCTTTGGTTTGATATGGCTCCTTGATGGGTCAAGACATCGGGTCTCGACTAGACCATTGCTAGATGGACCTGTGAGTTTTAATAGTGGGTGTGTGACCTTCATTTGTAGGCATGTGACCTTCATTAATGAGCCAAATTTGGTTGTAACAAAAATGGTCTCGGGTGAACAGCTTATTGGAACATGTCTTGGTGTGTTCCAACATAGATAATTCGTAGATAAGCTTATCTTGAATGGGCTTGGATTCGATGTTTTCATCATCAGATGTCAAAATAATAGCTACCGTAAAGATTCACACTAGTCCCGTCCAGAGTATCGTTAATCTCCATTAACACGAGGTCGCAAACTAAACAGATGGATAAGACCCTGGAAAACTAAATTAGACAAAAAATAAACATTTGACTATTTGTTTAGACATTCAAAAAATTGGAGTACTAAAAGCTTATCGGAACTTGATTGAAAAATTTACATGGATTTTTCTTTAAAAAAGTGTCGGCTTTATATTTCGCTAGCCGATCATGTATACTTTACGAAGTGAATTTAAATTGAAAAAGCAAAGTGATAATTTTCTTGAAAGAGTTTTTGCAATCGTGAGTGTTTGTCTAACATGGATACTACAACAATCACAAGAGGAGAGAACCTAAAGATAGCAGCATCTAAACATTCTGTGTTAACAATCAACGAAAATCTGAAACCCATCACCCTAACAAATCCGCGAAAAGAAACTGCAGGCTTATCAGCTTGGAATCTCGTTGTCAGATTGGCTATTACCTCCGAA